TAGCACTCAGCACTCCTGCAGGACCTAGAACTCAGCACTCCTGTGGGACCTAGAACAGCATTCTTGTAACATCTAGAACTTTGCACTTCCTGGGGAGCATCAAGTAAGGTCATTCAACTAAACGAAGCTCACCCACATTATTGAGGATAACCTTAGTTAAAGCCAACTGATTATAGATCTGAACCCCATCTACAAAATACCTGGCCAATAGTTAAATAACTGAGTGCTACAGCCCAGCCAAGTGATGCACAAAACTAACCATCACACATTGTTTATCTACCCGGCATTGCCTGAGTCCACAGAGAATCCGAGAAGTATTTGAAGTATTTGACCACACACACACACACACACACACGCACACGCACACGCACACGCACACACACATGCACACATACAGATACTCACACATACATACACATACACACACACACACACACACACACACACACACACACGGTTTATGAGACTGCCTGGAGTGCAGATACAGATACACACATACATACGCATACACACACACACATGCACACATACAGATACTCACACATACATACACATACACACACACACACACACACACACACACACACACACGGTTTATGAGACTGCCTGGAGTGCAGTGTTGAAGGGTCGGCAAGAATGAGCGTGAATGTTGTTGTAAACTGCAGAGTGCTCTTGGCTGTCGGGGCACTGAGCCCGGTCTGCCCCCTGACCCCCACCCCCAGCCTCTCTCCTGCAGGCCTGGCTTCTCTGAGGTCTAGACAGCAGTTTCCAACACCCCCCCCCATCCCCCGCCACCCCCGCCAGGAGTTTGTCTCGGTGGCAGCTTCACTCTGTGTGCTGATTGGTCAGCCTGTTTTTTCTTGTTTTCTAAGGAACATGAGTGTGAGAAAGAGGCTCACCCTCGAGCACGGGCAGGCAGGGCCCGGGTCACAGCCCGTGTTCTCTGAGCTCCTCCTTCCACACGACAGCCTTTCCATGGGGCGCAGACGGGCGAAGGCGGTGTCTGGAGGACAGACAGGGAAAGTTCCTTTCATTTTTATGAACCATGAAGCCTGACTTGAGATTTTCTGTTTGATTTCTGGCTGGTTTTTCTCCTGATCACTTGTGTTTCCAGCTGTCGTCGAGGGCAGGTGACCTGGATTGAGTCATTTCGCTCGGAGGATGTACTCAATCATAGGGCAAATATGAGACTGCCTGGAGTGCAGTGATTAAGGGTCGGCAAGAATGAGCGTGAATGTCATTGTAAACTGCAGAGTGCTCTTGGCTGTGGGGGCACTGAGCCCGGTCTGCCCCCTGACCCCCACCCCCAGCCCTCCTCGTCGCCTCTCTCCTTCGGGCCTGACTTCTCTGAGGTCTAGACAGCAGTTTCCAACACCCCCCCCCATCCCCCGCCACCCCCGCCAGGAGTTTGTCTCGGTGGCAGCTTCACTCTGTGTGCTGATTGGTCAGCCTGTTTTTTCTTGTTTTCTAAGGAACATGAGTGTGAGAAAGAGGCTCACCCTCGAGCACGGGCAGGCAGGGCCCGGCCACAGCCCGTGTTCTCTGAGCTCCTCCTTCCACACGACAGCCTTTCCATGGGGCGCAGACGGGCGAAGGCGGTGTCTGGAGGACAGACAGGGAAAGTTCCTTTCATTTTTATGAACCATGAAGCCTGACTTGAGATTTTCTGTTTGATTTCTGGCTGGTTTTTCTCCTGATCACTTGTGTTTCCAGCTGTCGTCGAGGGCAGGTGACCTGGATTGAGTCATTTCGCTCGGAGGATGTACTCAATCATAGGGCAAAATCCAAATGCCAGATTTTGAAACTAGGGTGTTACTTTTTGATATTGACGGAATTGAATGAGCCCACGGGTTCCAAATTGCAAGTATAAATCAAGGAATTGTGGCAATAACACATCGAAGCCGCCTCTCTGTCAGGCCGTCCGGATCGATAACCACCGGCCATTTATCCGAGATAATGTCCTCACCTGCGCCCTGATGGCCTCATTCATAACCGCAAGAAAGCCATCGCCCCAGGTGACAGCTGTCTTCTCCGCATCGACTTTCCCATCACTTCGTCTTGAATGGGCGAGAGCTCAGACCCGTCACGTCTGTGGTGTGACCTTGGGGAGAAACACTGGCTCCCACTGTTGCACAGAACCCCACATCATCTGCGTTGGATGCTTTTATTTTAAGACTAGAGGCCCAGTGCACAAAATTCGTGCACTCGGGCTGGTGTGGGGGGCTCTGTCCCTCAGCCTGGCCTGTGCCCTCTCGCAGTCTGGGAGCCCTTGGAGGATGTCCGACTGCTGCGGAGGCGGGAGAGGCTCCCGCCACTGCTGCTGCGCTCGCCAGCCATGAGCCCAGCTTCTGGCTGAGTGGCGCAACCCCTGTGGGAGCGCACTGACCACCAGGGGGCAGCTCCTGCATTGAACGTCTGCCCCCGGGTGTCAGTGCACATCTTAAGGACCAGTCGCTCTGCTGTTTGGTTGATTTGCATATTAGCCTTTATTATATAGGATGATAAGCCCACCCATGTGGGGAGGTTAACTAGACTCCACGCATAGGTTTGCCCAGCGAATAGATGAAAGGATACGGAGCAGCGAGTGGTCCTGGCACTGTAGCTTCCCAGATGTCCAGGGACCCCTTTGAGCTGAGATGTCTAGCACCCCCCCACCCAGTTAGGAGGCAGCTGTCAAACAAGTCCTGCACATAAATGTGTAACAAAAGTGCAAAGACTTGGATAGAAAAGATACACAGGGCCCGGCCGGCCGGCGCATGGCTCGGTGGTTGAGCGTCGACCTGTGAACCAGGAGGTCACAGTTGGATTCCTGGTCAAGGCACATGCCTGGGTTGAGGCTCAATCCCCAGTGGGGGGTGTGCAGGAGGCACCCGGTCAATGATTCTCTCTCATCATTGATGTTTCTATCTCTCTCCCTCTCCTTTCCTCTCTGAAATCAATAAAAATACACGTTTAAAAAAAAAAGATACACAGGAACCTCAGAATATATGCTATTTGTAACCATTTACTTCCTACAAATTTGAAATATATATATGCCGTGCCCCCCCGCGCCCCCCGCACACCTGAGAAATGGATACATGAGTGTTTATTACCTCCGTCCCATCTCCATCTCTGTATTCTCTGTGTATTGAGACTATTTATATACATTTACTTCAGCACATGTATAGTCCATCTATACTAATAAAAGCCTAGGTGGTCCTCACATGTGACGTCGTCACAAGATGGCCACCACAAAGATGGCCACATGCACAGCTCAGGTGGGGCCCAGCGGCCACTCCGCGTGGTGAGGCCTGGGGGTTCCTCGGCTCCGTGCGGCCTGGAGGAGGCTGGTCCCAGGGTCTCTACCACCTCACGCAGAGGAGGCAGGTCCCAGCAGAGGAGGCAGGTCTTGGCAGGGGAGGGCAGTTGGGGGCGATCAGGCCGGCAGGGGAGGGCAGTTGGGGGCGATCAGGCCGGCAGGGGAGGGCAGT